ATGTACACAAGATATTTAACACTGAGAAGATGATGAACATTTCACAATGACACAAGCATGAAGCAAACAAAAACAAATGTACACTTACTCACTTCATAAGTAATCTTTCATTGGTGTGGAATGTCAAAGTAAACACAGGCACAACCTACTATCCCTGAAAGTTGAATGTGATCTCGAGAAATTGGACCTGCAAATTATGAAATATATTAAATTATATTAAATAGAAAATGTGGCCTTGCAAAATCTCTGTCTTACATTAACCTTTTTGTGTAAATCGTTTCTGAAATGTTGTCTGGTCATACCCAAGACCCCTGCCTTAATCTCCATGATCTTCTCACAATGGACTAGGAGATGGGGGGAAATTATTCAATGGAAGTAAATCAGAGCTCCCTGGGTTCATTTCCTGTTCCCATTGATAAGATTCAGACTATCTGTAGGAAAGATCCTGCACCCATCCCTTAAGTCAGCTTCATCTCTTGAGATGGGCACCATCCCCAAGTATCCAATGTGTACACTGGACTAATCCTATTTCATTAAGCAGAGCTAACCCATGAAACTCATCAATAACTCATTACATAGTGCCACATCACATTCTTTTGGGATCATGCCCCTTTAATGGTGGACCATTAAACAATGACACTTCAAATGATCTAATTACAGTTTCTTGAATTTCCTGCTATACAAAGAGCCAATCAGTGAGGACATTTGATAGAGTCCTGAGCCATTCAAAACACCTATACTAACTAGAATGTCTTTTTTAACCAACCAGGAGCTGGCGCAGGTTTTTTGAATAGCTGTAAAATAAAATAAAAATGTTCTGTGTTTGCAATTGCAGCATCCTCTTTGGCCATTATGAATAAACATCTGGTTTTTCCCTCTACCTCATCTGTGTCTGATTTGGATTTTTGGATTAGCTAGCCATGCCAGGCTTACAAGCCCACAATTCTTGTGGTAGTTGAAAACACTCAACACATGAAATCCACTCATCTGCAACCCATTGCCACATGATCTCAGCTGAAATACAGCTGTTTCTGTTTATTTTATAGTCAATACAGCCATCACTACATTTATTTTCTTTAATCTGAAGAAACCAAACTTAGCCAAGAAAAAGGAGAATCCTAATCTAGATGAAACTGCCTTCTTGCCTTCTTACTCTGAATTTACAGTGCAAGGCAAAATGACCTGATTTTGACTCTTTGACATTATTTTCCTGTTACATCATCCCAGGAGAAAGATAGGGGTATAAATTCAATAAACAAACAAACCACATCAATATCTACAGACATGACAGCAAAAAACATCCAAAGATGACCACTGAACTCTGCCAACATAAGAGCCCGTGGCTTCATAAAAGGCAGGGACAAATCAAGATCTCTAGAGGAGACTTTTTATCTGCAAGATGGAGAAGGAAATTGTATTCCCATCTTTTATCATTGTTTCCACTTATCTCATGCTCTTTTGGAGGAGGAAGGTGAATTTCTGTCTACACCGACTCTCTGTAACATCTTAAGCAAACCTATGTGTGTAACAACACCATTTTTCTTTCCATCCACGGTTTTTTCCACTGTCTTTACCTGACAAAAAAGTCAGTATGTTTTGAAAATCAGATTAATGATTTGTTTCTATTTTCTGGTTGACCTAATCAAAATGTTTATTGAAAACTTTAGGGGGAAACATTTTACAGGAATCAATAGGTAAAATCTATCCACCAGTAAATACTACATTCAAAGCTTTTCCATTATAGCATTAGACAAAGATCCTTGGCTCTCTAAGGCTCGTATATTAATTTTAAAAAATCTTAAGCATTTTTCTTGGATTTATGAAGAAATATATAAATGTGTACTATCTTTATAAAAATGAATATAACAAAATGTTCCCTTAATTGTGTTGCTCAAATTCAACCAGTCTTGATTGTCCTTGTCCAAAGGATATTATACTATACTTGGCTGTAATACTGATTGTGAAGATAAGCAACTGGAAGGAAAAATAAGCCCAATTCAGGATGCATCTGCACTGTCGAATTAAAGCAGTTTGATACTGCTTTAACTATCATGGCTAAATGGTAACAAATTATGGGGTTGTAGTTTTACAAGCTCGTTAACCTTCTCTACTAAAGTATTTTGGTTCCTCACCAAACTAAAACTCCAAGGATTCCATAGTGTTGAGCCAAGACAGTTAAAGTATGGTCAAACTGCGTTAATTCTATAGTGCAGATACACCTTTTGTCTTAACTTGGGTGATGAAGCGAGGCCTGGAAGAGCTAAGCACTCCATTCTGCCTTGATGAGAACATCTGTGAGTATTGCTTTCTTTTCAGCCTCACCTTCTTGCCATTGAATTGATGAAGGAATGACCTACCTATCAATTGTGATGGATTCCAACCCTCGATCTTTTCTTCTAAAAACAATCCTTGGTCTGATTTTTGGTCTCCATAACACACTGGATGGACAGATATGGACACAGAGAAGCCATTGAAATACACAAGCATGTGGACAATTTCAACAGAAAGGAGGAAACCATGAAAATGAACAAAATCTGGCTACCAGTATTAAAAAAACTCTAAAATTGCAACAGCACAACAACAGAGAGGAAGCAGGCAGGGACATCTAATCACCTCTCAACAAAAGTTTGCTCCAGGCACAGTCAGCCCATTGTATGCTAATCAAGGTGGTCAGTTGAAACATTCACAGCTCCAGCAGACAAGAGTCCTTTGTCCCACCCTGGTCATTCCACAGATATATAAACCCCTTTTCCTAGTTCCAACAGACCTCACTACCTCTGAGGATGCTTGCCATAGATGCAGGCGAAACGTCAGGAGAGAATGCCTCTAGACCATGGCCATACAGCCCGAAAAAACCTACAACAACCCAACGACAGATATATTTATTACAGAGTGATTTTTCCTCATTCTTAAATTTCCAGATACAGAGGTAAACAACTAGCGAAGGTTTATAAATAACGCACATCAGCTCCATAAACAATGTAATGTACCACTTTTTTAAAACAGAAAAACAATCACCTCTTTTCTGAACTTTTTCCATACTCTTGATTTTCACGAAATCAAAAATTCCCTCTCTCACTTACATCCCTGTGTACTTACTTAGGTAAAGGTAAAGGTTTTCCCCTGACATTAAGTCCTGTCGTGTTTGACTCTGCGGGTTGGTGCTCATCTCCATTTCTAAGCCAAAGAGCTGGCATTGTCCATAGACACCTCCAAGGTCATGAGGCTGGCATGACTGCATGGAGCGCAGTTACCTTCCCGGCGGAGTGGTACATATTGTTCCACTCACATTTACATGTTTTCTATCTGCTAGGTTGGCAGAATCTGTGGCTAACAGTAGGAGTTCACCCTGCTCTCTGGATTTAAACTGGTGACCTTTCGGTCAGCAAGTTCAGCAACTCAGTGGTTTAACCCACTGCACCACCAGGAGCTCCATGTATTTACTTACCCCTAAATATTTCTTTTTTTCTAATTGGTCCTGTCTATTTGTCAAACAAGCCCCCAATTTTATATTCCTTCTACTGTATGTTCCTGTTCCGTCTTCCAGGAGCATAGTTTGCATTACCTTTTAGTTGCATTGGATAGTGTTCTTTTGCATTTCCCCAGGGTTGCTACAATCTTAGCTGCACTCTGAAAGTTAACATTATCAGAGGCTGGAAAGCCAGCCTGCAGGTGTTTTTTGCAGCTATTAGTTTAGAAAGTATCTCTTTGGGTCTAAGGACCACCTTTATTCCTAGGGCTGAGATCTCCATTTTGGAATCCCCTCTGCCTCCTTTTAGTTTTAAAGAAAAGCCTCAGATGTGCTGCTAGACCAGCCAGATAGCTCTGAAAAAATAATTGTACGATTGAGTTATTTAGATAAAGAAGCTAATTGAGATAGATAGATAGATAGATAGATAGATTAGCAATTGGGTAATTGAGCAATTGAGTTATAGATAGCAATTGAGATATAGAAAAGTTATTGAATATTATTGAGCATTACTTCATCTCCAAAGCTAACCTTGAGCTATAGATAGGGAAAAACCTGTTTTTTTCTAACCATAGCAGCTCGGGGTTAGGGTGAAAGGATCCCAGGAAATTTTCTACTTTTTTGGGGAAAAGTTACCTCATTAACTGAAGGAAAGGAAAGAAAGATCACCTCTATGGTTTCACCAATTGACTGTTTTGTTTGTAACTTTGACAAGCTGTGCCAAGTCTGCAAGGACTTTGAGAAATAAATATTCTGTTTTGGTGTTCAAAACCTGTAATAGCCTCAGTTGCTAGGAATCTCAAGCTTATAAATAAAGACCCCTGCAGTCCACCCAGACCAAAACTAAATGACGGCACAGTTCCCCTCCTCTTCATGGCATTCCACATTGGCTGGTTTTCTCCAGTTTGTCAAGCCATGCTCTTCTCCTATCTTTATTTGAGACAAAAAGTAGCAGAAACCAGTGAAAATTCTAGGGAAACAGTACTGAACAGTTCTCTGGAACAGAGAAAAACCTTTTCATGTTTTCTGATCCTTACAACATACTGCTCCAGCTCTCCACTTGTGTCTGTCATAATGGTGAGCCCTTTCACCAGTCTGAAATATAAATAGAAGATCAACACAACACATCTTTCACCAGACTCTATGCAAGTTAGAATTGCACACCTTCCCTCTTTTTTCCTTTCTTAAAATCCTGCCACTCCCTTGCACCCAAATTGTCACAATGACACAGGGAAATGTTATCTTTGTGATCACATGAATGATTTCACACCCCCTGTGTCTTGCATACATTTATCAGTGGGGTTCCGTCTCAACAAAGCCAAAGTCAGAATTCCCCAGACATGTGTTTCTAGACTTCAGAGGAACAGCAGCTGTCAGGCAAGCTAGGATTCCCTCTTTGTTGAATGGGTGGCTGTCTAAAATGATAATGAGACCTCTGCCATGAAAAGACAGGCAGCTGGCAGCTGCTTTAGACTCCAGGCCCACTGCTTCCTCTGTCTCTGTCTCTGTGCTCTGTTTCTGAGAAGGGAGACTCACAAGTCGAAGCTGCGGTGAAGATAGATGCTGGTTGTTTTTAATTAAACCTGATGGCTATGTCTTCAGGGGATCAACCAGCTCATAGGCCTTATCCGTCTGTAGTGATTTGCTTTTCGCATTGATGACAAGTAGAAATTTAACAGAGAAAGCTGATATAGACCTGGTGATGTACACATGGAGATATTTCTGCCTGCAGAATTTTTCCTGGTTACACAGCCACTCCATGCATAGAAATATTAAATATTGACTTCAAGATCTAGAAAGACTCAAATAGCTGGCTTACCAAACCCATTACATGGTTCCACAGTGAGTAATCCTGTTATTTGTCTCTGCATCCTCAACACAATACTGCTTTTGTGTGGATGCATATGTTACAACCAAGCCAGATGGTTGTATAGCTGCTGTGGACTTTATTTATTTATTTATTTATTTATTTATTTATTTATTTATTTATTTATTTATCAATCATGTCAGGGGCAACCAGACCATTGTATTACATTTCTAACAGAACAAAACAAACAGATTTAAAAAAACAAACTTGGTAGTTGATTAAATGTCCTTTGACCAGTATCTGGCCACTTGAAGTGCCTCTGGTGTTGCTGCAAGAAGGTCCTCCATTGTGCATGTAGCAGGGCTCAGGTTGCATTGCAGCAGGTGGTCAGTGGTTTGCTCTTCTCCACACTCGCATGTTGTGGACTGGGCACCTGATACTACTATACTACTATATTTTTTCATTGCTCAGTAGTTTACTCTGGAAAGACATTATTCTGGAGAGTAGCGTACAATTAATAACATCACTGTGCATGAGAGATATCATGCATGGTCCAACATGACAAGGAACTGGAAAACACATCAATTAGAAGTTGTGTTTATTTGTGTAAGAGTCATCCTATGCTTGCAGAAGAGTATATTTATTAGATTAGCTTTTACTTATTGAAGGGACAGCATCTATAAATTAAATTAACACCATACAAAGTTTTGGGTGCTGATCACAGTAGAGACTTTTGTTCATAAATCTAGCACTGACATTGCTATACATGCAAAACTGAAAAGAAGTGATAATTAGATTATAAATAAACTCAGTAGCACCTACTCCATAGAAATATGCATTATTCAGTTTTATATCTAAAAAACCCAAACTTTTCTTACTGCTCTGCTTCTTATTGATACTCTATATTGAGAACTAAAACAGGAGAAATTCATGGAAATGCAAATATGAAAATACAGCAGCAAATGAGTTACCATACCAGACAGTACAACATAATGTATTTGGCTTGGGAAAAAGAAAAGTTAGGTAGCATTTCGTATTGTGTATCATTGACATGTTGTGATACTCAGTGTAAAAATACAGCTTCGGTGTGATCCTGGACTCATCGCTGAGCCTGGAACCCCAGGTTTCGGTGGTGACCAGGGGAGCATTTGCATGCCAGCTGTGCCCATACCTTGGGAAGCCAGCTTGTGCGCCAGCTGTGCCCATACCTTGGGAAGTCTGACTTGGTTATGGTAGTCCATGGTCTGGTTACATCCTGTATAGAGTACTGCAACACACTCTATGTGGGATTGCCTTTGAAGACAGTCCGGAAGCTTCAAATGGTCCAACAGATGGCAGCCAGGTTGCTAACAGGAGCGGCACTCAGGGAGCACACAACTCCTCTGTTGCGTCAGCTCCACTGGCTGGCAGTTTGCTACCGGGCACAATTCAAAGTGCTGGCTTTAGCCTATAAAGCTCTAAATGGTTCTGGTTCAACTTACATGTTCGAACACATCTCCCCTTATGAACCATCTAGGATCTTAAGATCATCTGGGGAGGCCCTGCTATCATTACTGCATTTGTCACAAGTACGTTTGGCAGGGATGAGAGACAGGGCCTTCCCCCTTTTAACATTCCTGAAAAAGGCAAAATGTGGCTTTTTGAAAAAGCATTTGCAAATGCAGAGTAACTGACATAGGAAAATGGAACAGCTAGACAATGAGTCTGGACAATGTTTTTAAGAAGAAGACACTATGAATTTATATTTTATTAATTTGTTTAGTTTTTATTATATGTTATGTTTTTAATTGTATTTATGACATTGTAAGCATTGAATTTTGCCCTGTTAACCGACTTGAGTCACCTACAGGCTATGAAAGGCAGTATACAAATACAGTAAACAAACAAACAAACAAATAATGCAAAAGACCCAAGGTGGGAACTAAACCTTTGAGAGCAACCTCAATGTCCTCAGTTTCATGGGGACAACTCCAAAGTACCATTGGACCGGTGCATTCCACAGGTAGTGGTTTTCCTGCCAAGGACACACCAAGGGGTCAGCCAGTACCAGAAGCTCCTCACCAGACTACAAACAATTAATTGGGAATAAATCCCATTATACTTAGTGGGATTATGTCATAGAGTGACCTTCTTCCCTTTGAAGGAGAACCTGGAAACTCCTGGCTTGCATTTTACAGGGACCAGAGAAGCTTTGGAAAAAAAACTAGCAACTACTTATTTGTCAGCAGTTCCAAGAAAATGGGAACCTCACTCCAGATAATCAGTAGATGGGGTTAGTATTTCATAGTTCTCCAGCTGCAAGTGAACAATTCAAGGCAGGCAGGTATCTATTTACAATATTTTTATTTCTTCTTTCTCACAGATAAGTTCAATGGCAATCCAGATACAAAAAATTACACAGGAACTCCTCTGCCAAGTGTCTGTGCTTCAACAATTCCTTCCATTTCACCACTTTCTCCTTTGGCATCTTCCCTTATCAATGGCTTTCCCCCAGCTCCACACAATCTTCACACATTTTTCTAAGTTTTCCAGATGTTCTTCATAAAACCATCATATCCCTCTTGTGTTATTCTGTGCCCTGCCAGCTCTCCTTTACTTCAGAAGCTTATGACTTTGGTTGTCCTGTTGCAGTTCCCTCCCTCAGCACAATGCTGTTATGGGCTTAGAGTAGGGCAATTTTACCAAAGTTAATTTAAAATTATTCTATCATATATTTAAACAGACCTTGGTTGGTGTTTCCAAAGTCTTTTACTTGAGTTCCAAAGTGATTCATACACTGTAATTTAGCATTTTTAAAATTAAAAAATTAAAATCAAAGACATTGATGAAGAGAGATTGAGGGGTAGAAGCAAAGGGGAAACCAAAAGGGATAAAACACTGTATCTTACATGATGCTTGACATAGCAACAATGGTGAAGAATGTAATAATATTTGTGGAGTAATTGAAAGAAGAAATATTTTCAATAGCATGCCAAGAAAATGCTGCAAAATTGCTTTAAAATGTAGCATATTGCATTTACTTCTGTTAAAAATTCTCAGTAATCACAGCTTATCTTTGCATAACAGAAAGAGCATGTCATTCAAATCGTCTACTTGCAGTGTCCTGCAGAACTGAGGCAATTCAATACCATTATGTATTTTATTACACATTGAAAATGTACTGGAGTGAAAAAAAATAGTTCCTGACACTCAGAAGGGAGACAACTCCTTTTCCCACCTCTGTATTCACTTATTCCATCATCATTAAAAATGGATGGAATATTCAAATATATTTAAATGAGTGAAGAAAATTGATTTCCTAAGTAGCAATAAACTCTGACAAGAATATAAGACAAACAAGAATCACCACAGTCTGGGACACATTTTTGTGATGATGGTGGTGGTGTTTATTTCCTAAGTAGCAATAAACATAGGAAAAATTATTTCCAAAGTAGCAATAAACTCTGACAAAAATATAAGACAGACAAGAATCACCACAGTCTGGGACACATTTTTATAACGATGGTGGTGGTGGTGTTTTATGCATAAATGCCATTTTCAACACAGAAAACATTTTTCATACACAGAAAACAATATTTAGTTTTCAGCATTGGATTCCTGACTTGCAGTTTCTCAGGTCGCTCCTGACACGACCCCCCCCCCCAAAAAAAAGCATTGGACTCACCTCTAAGTATGGATCCCTAATTGCTCTGTCTTCAACACTCGCACATTGGAATGAATATAATAAAGTCCAGCTATATACATTGTCCTTGTTCATGTACATCTTTGTGAGTGACAGGTAGATGGGGAGGAAGAGAAGGAAGGAGATTTGGGGATCTGAAATGCAGTATGAAACACAATACAAAATATCTGATTATTTGTTTATTTGTTTATTTCCCTTATTTTTACCCCAATCTTCTCACCCAGAAGGAAACTCAGAACAGTTTACAGTTTGGCCACTTCAGTAGCACATTGTGAATACATAGTACATAAAATATATCACATCAAAACAAACAACAAATACATATACAAAAACATATAAATACAATAAAACTGTTAAAACCATATCCCTAAATCCATGGTGGTCCTTCATGCATTCATATCAATTCATATCAATTCTATATTACACTATTCCCCTGGTCCCAAAACCTGAAAATCAGGAGGGAGGGGGCTAATGTAATGCCATTGGGGAGAGAGTTCCATAGCTGAAGGGCCACCACTGAAAAAGCTCTGTATCTCGTCCCCACCAGACATGCTTGCAAAAGGTGTGGGACTAAGAGCAGGGCCTTCTCGGCAGACCTCAGTGCTCAAAGTTCTTCAACTAGCATGCTATATCAGTTGAAAACCATGGAGATTTCCCAGGGACCTGCCTCACTGGAAAGGAATAATCCCCAGAATCCCTCAAATTACACTCTTTTCAAATCCTCAAAGATGAAAGACTCAGACACCATGAGAAGACACCATGAGAATACAACCCAACATAGTACTGCTCACAAGTTTCAATGAATTGAATGGGAGTTTCTCCCAAGCAAGTGTTAATGTCTCATAATGTATGTGTCAGCTTGCCTAAAGGCAGAAATATTAGATGTTACAACAGCAGAGCATTTCTGGAATCAGACACAGATGCCTTCCTTTCACTTCTAATGAGACCAAAAAGGCATACACAGGTCAGTCGCAGAGGGCAGCCTCTTTATTGACTCATATCTGTCATCTATCACAGGCCTTTTCCTGTATATATAAATAAGAAGAGGACCTGAAGCAACTCAACAAAGGTCACATGATCTCTGAAAGATTGTTGCTGGAGCAAAATTTCTCTGGATTTTTTTTCCAGCATTGTAGCACATAATTCCTCAAACATTGTTGGACAATGTCCCATGAACCATGTTGCGTTAATACCCCCTCTCATTCTTTACTAATAGGTCATGTTGACCCAGATCAGCAAGACATGGGGTTGCTGCAGGCAGGCATGTGACATTGTCTTCTTCAGCCTTCAGAATATAGTAGGAGAATGACTATCAGATGATCATTACAATGAAACTATGGAAAAAGTATCAGT